GAAAAGCAGGGAGAGGATGTGACTGCCATGAAATTATCAGTGGAAAATGAAAGGGATTTAAATGTGATTTAAATTATAGCAGCCTGCAGAGGGGGTTAATGACAGCTGATGATGTGTTTGTTACTTCACATGATCATTGAAGAAAAAAAACACTACCAAAAGCGACTGAAGCTCAGTATCAGCTGCTACACAGTATCCTCATCTCCTCATGCAGTAATCAGGCTTCTTTGTTTTTAAACACTGACTAATACCCACTGTCAGCTTGTGTAATAATACAGTAGATTATCAACACGAAGAGGGACAGTCTCACAGTGAGGAAAGCAAGGCAGAGTGGCTCCCCCCCATGCCATGGAAGTGGTGAGGAGGAGGGCAGCGTGGCAAGGGATGATCAATAGTATGTCAACAGAGCGTCGAGGTGCTGGGTGGGGGATAAATGACTTGTTGAAATGCCCTCTGAGAAAAGAGGAAAGGAAAAAAAAACAAAAACAGGTCGATAGTGAATAAATCTGTCAGCAGCAACCAAGTCAGTGAAACAGGAGCAGAGCCTCATTCAGTAGAAGCCAGTGAGGAGCATCTGTTTTCATAATGGAGGAGGAAAAAACACATCTGGCTATTAAAGGTGGATGTAGCATGTTGCATGACACAAAGAGGATGCTCAGTGTCTGATGAGAGAGCTGCATCATTTCCACATGGTAGTCAGAGCCATTAGTGAGCAGTATGTGTGTGTGTGTGTGTTCCCGGAGCTTACAGTCTCACCCTTTCCACCTTTGCAACCATGGCAACGCCGATCAAGAGGTCCTGTCGAAGATGCTGTGCTGTCCCGGGGGGGGAGGAGCCAAGCTGGGTGACGACATGTTTGCTTTGTGTGTCGTACTGGTTAGAATAGTTTTTAAAAAATTAATTTCACTTAATTGTATTCAATTTAAATGTATTTTATGTTTAATGCTGTCCAGTTTGTCTAGTGTACGTTTACTTATAAAGCTCTTTTAATATTTGGCTTTTTACTTGCTGTCATGTGAAGCACTTTGAAAAATACATATCAGCACACGTCATCATTTTGAATGAGTGCAGCACGTAATGAAACCAGTGGTAACCAACAGCAAACAGTCGCCACCTGAAGCATACATTTAGCCCGACCACGGAGATAATGAGGACAGACTATCACATCCCACTGCTCTCTCTCTTTCTGGCTGCTCTTGTTGAGCTCCGTCTGGCTGATTTATCTGAGCTCCGGACCTCAAAGGAAGCACAAAGCTAAACTAAGACCTGGGAACTGCGCCAAACTGTCTTACTCAGATCTGGAGTATCTTTAAATGGAAGGAAGAGTTAAGTGCATATGAGGACAGGCAGTGTGCTTGTGTGTGTATGTCAGTTAGCTCTGGGCACCATAATCCAATGTGAAATGGATTTTATACTCAAGTCACACAGTCAGTGTGATTTATGATTCATTCCTTTAAACTACAATTTCCCATGATCCAAAACAAGATAACAAAATTATATGGAAAGGAAATTAGCCTTTGATAAAGGACAATTTTACCAACATGAAATTTAAACAAATTAATATAAAGATGACAGCCGTGGAAGTATAAGGCTGCTTTAAAGGCTGGAGATACAACCAGAAATACAACGGTTGCATTACAGAAACACTCTCATCATCTCTAAAGTGAAATCGGAGAGCTCGTAAGGTTTTGAGAGCATCCCCAGAGATGTAACCTGTTTAACCTTGCTCTCTCCAAACCACTTCCTTACCACCAGCTTCCCCAGAAAGAATATTTCACTTTCCCTGTGTCATAGAGGCATTTTGTATAAGCTAAGTACATTTTACGATGTAAAAGCCTATTCAAAGTAAAATTAAAACACATTTCCTGGCCACATTAGGTCAACCTACCTCCTAGGATGAGAGAAAATCACTCATGCTTTACAGATCAGTGTGCCAGTCTGAGATTAAGGTTCTGTGGGAAATGATCTTATTACCAGTGAGTGGTGCTTATAGTCAAACATGAATTCAGAGTTACCATAACAAGGTTACTATATGCTAACAGCAAGTTTTAGCTGAGTAAAAATGTTATGCGATGATTAGTTGTATAAAAAAAAAATCAACAGAATATGATTAAATATAAACTTAAATGCAGTGAGATACAAGTCAGTAGCTGACATCAGTGGTTAAAGTACAACAGCTATTAAAAGCTTTGAGATGAGGCTTGAGGGAAGAGCCTTGTAATAAGCCTTAATTATAAAAAGTAACATGTACTGTAAACTGGTTTAGAAAACAGAGGGGTAATAAATCCAAAAACTCTAAAGTCATGTGGTCTCCTTTATAAAAGACTGTTCAGATCTCTAAATCATAAATAACAGGGCTCCAAAAATGGAGGATGATGGAACGTTTCACTTTGAGATGACAAAACAAAACCAGGAATGACATTTCTGATGTTTATACTTTTATGCTATTGTTGTCTTAATCTGAAGAATCAAACCAAGACTAATTTAGCCAGACGGTGACAATGAATGTTGGACATAGCCTTTTTAGATTCTCTGTTGATAAAAACCAATAATTTTCAAAGGAAATTTTTTTTATTAACTTTTGTCCCTTTCTCTGTTTTCCCTTTTATTGTGAAAAATGCTGTTCCTATTTAGACTTCTGTCACACTTAATTAGTATTTTTATGCTTATTTGTTTGACTTATTTCATTGGTATGTGTGGTATGATGTTATTTATATGATATTTCTCTGAGAACTTGTGTGGATCTTCTTGAGAGAGAGTTGAGCCTTCATGTTCTAAGAAAAACTGGTTTGTCGCTCTCTGCATCTGTAAACTATGACCCCTGCACAGTCACACATCATCTTTCATTATCACAACGTGAAGCACACACGTCACATTTCTGTCCATAAAAGAAAAGTCAATACAGACCAGGTCATGAAGGTGCCCCTGGGCGTCAGTCTGAAGCTACTGTACTTCTAAAATGTCACTAGATTCCACCTTTACAGACAACAACAATTAAATAGGGACACCACTGAGTTTCTGTTTGCAGTATAGGGCAGTGAAGAGGAGAAAGAACTACTGCTGATATCTCCCTCTGTGACTTTGGTTTTACTATGAAATACTGATGCTTACACAACAATTAGTTCATTCCAGAACGTACACACCTCCCCTACACACAGAAAGGCAACGCCTACATTTTTTGAACTCTGAATGCTGCAGTAAATAAATTAAACTGTCCTTAAGAAAAACTCTATTTCCTTCCATTTTTACCAGCTTTGAGCAAAATTCTGCCTCAAATAACCTGGACCTGGATCTGCAAGTGAGGGATTTTAGAAACATGCTGAACAACCATGCAGGTTAATGTCTGGATAAATGAAAATATATTCATGCCATTTCCAAGTCAGTTTTTGCCCTTTTCCTCTGCAAAATAAATGGAAATGACAATAGCTCATTCAAACTTCTACTGGAGCGGGGTTGGGTTATATCACCCCTTCAAATGGTCTCTCCATCTCCTGAGGAAAAAGGCAATTTCATGCTCCAGCACGGCTCAGGGGGACATCAGGACTAAAGGTGACCTTGAGGTTAATAGTGCAAACCTAATAAATATGCTGGAAATCCAGCAGCACAATAACAGCTCCTGGCCACATTCCTAAAATGCCCAAAGTCTAATTGCTAGAGGAAACCATGGTAAATAAACATAGAGGCTCTTGGTGAAAATAGGGGAATATGGTGAGCATTCAGAAATTGCCTTTGAGCTGGAGTTGCTGCTGACAAACCAATTAATATCACAGTTCAGCCTGTTGCCAACCGTATCACTTGACTCTCAATGTGACAAACATCAATAATTCAGTGGAGCATCACAGCGCTGGCAGCCATTTAAAGATTAAAGAGCAGTGAAGTATACTTGGTACCATCAGCAAACAAGCAAAACGTGTATTAAGTCCTTTCATTAGGCTTTCATAGAGGTAGAGAATATACAGGTTTTCAGACAAATCAAACACAAAAGCAAAGTCTGGCACTGTGGTCTTTAGTTGGAAAGAAAATCTACAGTATAAAAGGTAAGGTACAAACCTGACAACAGCAAGATAGTCTGAAATGTTTGAACAGTAAAGCAATGTATGGAGAAGGGGAGAACTGCACATTCAAGATGCAAATGTACTGCCCTTCTTGGCACCTGATGAACAGGAAGCAAAATCATTTAATCTCATGTTGTAGCTACCGTACATGCAGACAAACATTTCAATCGTATTGACAGTGGTGTACCAGCAACATACTGGATAGGATTTCTTTCCACAAGTGAAACTAGTGTTAGGTGAAAGGCTTCTGCAGTTGGTGTTTGGTCTGGAACATGATAACATTCACCCATGAGGCCTAACCTGCCACACTGGCTTCTCCCCACCATGATCAAATTCAAAGGTTCCAATAGAAAATTCGCCAAGATGCTGATCAGTTTCACGCCCAAATAAGTGTTATGCAACATGCTTTCATGAACCTCTGAGTTACGTGAAAGGCAGTGAATGACGGAAACAGCCTTGTGATGCTCTTTGCGATTTCAGCACTTCGGACAGCACCAGAGGAACGCGTCTCTGCGGAACACACGTGGTTTTCACATCATCATCTGTTGGACCCCCGCCAGTGATGTGGATCCACAAGCAAACGGCATTTACCGCATTCACTTTCATGCATGAGGCCCTTTTAGCTGTTTTCCCACTAGAATATTGACACATACACACACACAATCATTGCACTGCAGCCAAACACAACAGATTAAAATACACATTTAAGCTGAAGTGTAGTTGCCATAGAATAAGAAACCTTTTAAAACTTTCTTGGACACCCTGTAAAAGTGAAACCAATGAAAGACAGTCTTTTCATCACCGGAGATACACTACACAGGTTTATGCATTTGTGTGTATGCAGGTGTGTTTATATCTGAGTGTGTGTCTTTGAATGGGAATTATGTAAACTACAGATATGGTGGTGGGGGGATCATGTTGGCAAATAAAGCATAAGTGTCTTACATCCTCACCCTCCCGCAAGCATTTTTTGCGGTACTGGACGTGAGGTCTGCCGCCGACGGGTTGCTGGGGGGTCTTCGCTGCGTTTTCCTCGTCTGCAACCTGTCCACCGAGGAGGTGGCTGGCCTCAGGTGGATGCGGGAAGGAATTGGTCGTATTGATCTTGCCGTTGAATCTCTGATACAGCGAAGCCATAATGTAGGTCCAGTCCAGATAACAACTTACAGCATGTCAGAGCCACAGAAAGATCGCGCCTAATTCGAGTTTTTTGGCAAGGTCTATTGGGTTTCTGTGCGCTTCGAGGGGAACCGATGGCAGACAGCCAGTTTTCACCTTCGGGATAGAGCAAAAAGATAAGATGGGGATACTTAGCTAATAAATAAGCATCTGGGGATGAATCACAGCCCTAAGTGTTACAACAATAAAGCTGAATCCTTCGCAGCGATGTCCTTTAAGCTTTCTCCGGGCGCACGGCAGACCGCTGGGCTGTAGGTGCCAATAGTTACTCTGTTCTGTATTCACAACACGTTGTCTCCCCTCTTTAGTTTCCTGATGCCTCCTTGCAGTGCGATAGCAAGCGGATGCGCTACGTTTCCGATCAGATATTCGGTTCCCACCAGACTCCAAGTGATTGTCCACAAAACAAAAGAGCAAAAGACAAGGTTCTGACACTTACGGGCTCTGTTTTTGGCGGCCTGTCCTCACGCATGAAGCGGGTGAAGGACGCAGAGAGCTCGGCGGTACTCTCAGCAGACGCGCTGTGCATGAGAAGTGCCCAGCACTGAGAGAGCAGCTTTACTGTAGCGCTGCTGTCACATTGAGCACTTCTCCCTGTGTGTTGCTTTACGCACAAACACGCACCAGAACTGCACAAGTTCCGTCGTGATTTAGCTTCACCTAGACTCTCTGATTAATATGTCCCACTAATGTATGATTTTATGAACGAGGTCATAAAATGTTCTCCCAAACGAGTTCATATTATTCCCATTACGGAACTCGAGTGCCTCTCTGTGGTGCTTCTACATTAGAACAGGCTGACCACACACCGATAAAGAGGTCTGCTCCAGGTAAAACAACAACAACAAAGTTTATTTTTACTCGTTTCTCAGAAAATCCAGCTCTTACAAATCCCGTGAAGCTAAGGTAGAGGTCAGCAAAACATATTGTTTCCATTTTTCAAAAAGCAATTGTTTTAGTCATGCGACTCCAAAAACGAAACGAGTTTATTTTAGTGTTTATATGACCTAACTTTAATAAACAATTCTCCTGCATCATATAACAATATCCCATAAGAGTAATAATTGAAAGTGTTTTTCACCCCTTCATTTGCGCAGTTTCCCTCCTTCTGTCACATATTTTGAGTCAGTTCACATCCGCAAATGTTTTTCAGCTCATACACTGCACTGCAAGTGATTTCATGCTTGAATTGCTTGAGGAGACCATAGCAATGCAGCTTTCTGGTAAATTCAGAATATTGGCTTTTATGTGGTGCAGTGGGGGGAAAGGCTCTTGAGTCAGAGTGTTCAAATCTCTGCCATCCCTGTCACGAATGCCACAGGCACCTCAGCCTCTTGCTGTGTGACGGCTGCAACTGTCACTCCACTAGGGCCAAACTGTGTTTTTGGGAAATAGATCATTTTCGCAGGATTACAGCTTCAAAGCTCTGCTAAACCAAAACTCAGAACAGCCCCCCTACCTATTCTGTTGAATACCACTGTTCTGCATCTCCCGGTTTTCGAAGAGTAATTAAGTCAGACATACTACAGCAGCAGAAATGAAAATAGTCCATATTAAATTTTGAAAAAAAGGGTTTTTGAAACTGGTGAGGCATCTCAAAGCTGAGAAAGAACTGCTGGAGGTTCACTGATTCATGACTTGAGTTATGACTATAACATCTATAATAGGATATGTTTCTGGAATACAAATTATTGATTTCAAAGGTTTGAACATTCATTCACAAACAAGGACATAATGCATTGCTTCCTTTTCTTAAAATGTGTCCCTATCCCTCCCTTGATTTTCATTAGAAACCAATTTTCTTTTGACTTTGAGAATGAGTCATCAAATTATTTAATCACAACTTTGTTAGATGTTTTTGTATACTCTTTAATTGAGGTTTCAGCAGAGATTTATGTTGCAGACTGAACATCTGGGCTCACAGCAGCCTCTTTCTCCACAGCGGCTCGCCTCAGTCCCTGTCATCATTTGTTTCTGTAGTTCGTAAATGCCTTTCCTGAGTCTGTGCATCCCAAGGAAATGGGCCACTTGACATCTGTCCCAGCCTCTTTGATAGATGTCTTCCAATCTCCCTCACCTTGTTGAGGAGGCATTGTGAAGTGCCTGGCTGCTTTACCACCCTCCCAGAGGACTATGTCAGAGAGCCTGGGCTCGACTCAAAAAAAGCAGCTGACTGGAGCTGTGCCTTTTCCTGCTTTCACAAACACCACTGAAGCCGAGCTCTGCATTATAGGTGGTAAAAAAAATCTGGGGAGGGATAACAACTATAATGATGATGGTAGTTGGACCACATCTAATACTTCTGAGGGTAGCTGATGGTGCTTTTGGAGCCAGTACAACCTCAAACTTACTTTGGGAATGATATAGGACATACAATTATGTTTCAAGCATATAAAAGATGCATTTGATTCCAAATGATATGAAGCACTTTGAGCATTTTATGATGTGGTGAGTGACAGCTTTTCCCCCTCAGGAGGCCAGCAGGGAAGCTGAAGCCCTTATGGAGGCTAAGAAAGGTGCAGGGTTCAGGGCAGGATGCAGACAGACAGAAAACTGGGGGTCACTAGATTGGCCACAAATTCTGTGAAAACATGGAACACAATGTTTTGTCCATCAAGGCCCAGGCTGCAATTCTCTTTTCAGGACCTGTAGGTTTGCAGATGCTCAACATGCCCAACACTGTGGAAAACGACATGTCTGCCACTTTGCCTGCTACCTGCATTTTGTTACCTGTACTGACCTTTGTTGCACTGAGGTTGTACGTTTGGGGCTCGTTTATCTAATGTGTTAGTTCTTAATTTAAAAATAATGTAATTATTGTAAGATGATACAATTTGAACTCATATAGTGACATCTCAATGAGCTGCACTCAATTTTACTGTATATTTTATATAGAAAGTCACAAAAAGAACATCTAATCCCATTTATAGTATTTTCTTATTTGGAAGAAATGTAAAACAGAGATAATTGCAGTGAACTCTTCAAGGTACACCTCAGTGTCACATTGTAATCTTACATATACATGACTCATAACTTATTACATGATTCATTAATTCATTTGAAATGCCACTACAGACCAGCTTCTTTCCATCAGCACGCTACACACCACAACAAAATGACACACAGATTAATTGGATGGAGGAGCAAGCAGATCAATCAACTTTGCCCGTAGTATCCAATTTCTTTCAAACATCATTAGGAAATGACTGCACCTCTGTACATACATATAGCAGAATGCATTTAGGTTCAGTGCAATTTGCACAGTTATCAGAAACAGTCTTCAAGCAAGAATTACATATTATAAATCATTCTAACACTTCTAGATCAGAGGATTTCAAAATGTAAGGCACATCTCCTCAGAAAATGAGACAGGTGAAGGGTGGGCACAGAGGCAAAGACGCTGCATGAGGTAAATGTGGCCGGTTTTCTAAAAACAACAGAAAGCTAGTCATTATATAGTTTGTCTCACCGATTTGTCCTGCTTACCAACACAGTCAGCATCAGCAGAAGTGACTGTGATGCACAGCTTGCAGAAGTAACTAATGTACTTTAAAACCTTTAGTGCCCAGTTGCTGTGCTTCTAAAGTCTTAACATTGTCTTGGAATTGTAACACAGTCACATATGAATGCACAGACATGGCAAACACATTTATAGATTCATTGTGACATGAACGTCTGAGGATTTCATCTCCGGGGTCCATGTCTATAAACTCCATTAGAAATCAGAGAAGAACACACTTGAACTTGCCTGAAAATCACTGCAATTTTTAGAAGTTTTCTTAAATATAAAATCAATCAGTGACAATTCTGTTCATTCGGGCATATGCTACAAACAGGAATCTTATCTTTGTGTAGACTACTGTTTGTTCTGGTCTTCCCAGATCCCCTAAATTATGGGAACTGTAGTCCCAAAACTTAGAGTGAAACTATTCCCCAAATAACTGTAAGAGTAACAACAGGCCACGTAACATAGATGAAGTCAAATAGTGTGCACTGCACGTAATGGCACAATCTGTACAAAAGCAGAACGCCTCCAAAAGTAAAGAGGCAGTTGCTGAATTCAGTTCAGGTTATACTTTTACTTTGATAAACTGCTACCACAGACTGCATGAACACATACTGAGTCTCCTGTAAATTACATGGTTTTCGTTCACTGTTTCAGCGCCGGGCACTTCTCACTTCATGCATCATTTTATATGGAAATCCTTCTATTCATTCACATCACTGTAAACAGTGCAGGAGGTGCTCATTCCTAACTCACTCTAAACCTATTTTCACTCACCGAGCCCAGTATAAAATTTGACTTTGTTAACTGCTGTCTAGGGCTGAAACTAGCCGAGCATGTAGCCTGCTGTAACTGGCGTATCATCTTCTACAGAGAGCAAGTGCTGAATCTTCCAGTACATTACAGATGAAGAGAAGCTGTGTAGTGAGCCCAAATTGAAATGGCAACAGATAAGTCAGTGAGGAAATGGAGTTTAATGGTGGCAGATGTAGTAGAATAGACTGTGGCTACGTTTCAGGAGGGCAGCAGACTACCGCTGTTGATCATGGCAGCAGCAAAATGTGGAAGGAAGGAAGGAGGATGGAAGGAGGGAGATAAGGAGCAGAGAAACCAAACAAGAGAGCCTGTTACTAAAAATGTATTCTCATGTTTGTGTGCAGATAGTGTGTGTAGCAAAACAAGGATTCAAAAGAGGTTGTGAGGAATTAAATCAAGTAGCTTATCACAAGTGAGATATGAGACAACATCCAAACTGCTCTGTGTTCTCTTCTTAAATACAGTTGGTCGCATCAATTTTCCGGTGCTAGTGTACTGTAACACTCTTTTAGCCAGTAATATTCCTTATGGCTCTATATGCATATATGCATTTCTGGGATCTCAGTTTGTGAGAAATGTCAAATTATTTGTGCACCTTGTCTAAATGTTTCTGTGCTGGAGATGAACATTGAGTCAGACACAAACTGTTTCTTTATCTAATAAAGTTCTAGAAATTACCCTCAGGCTGTGTCTGTTTTTACATTACTTTGATTGCTTGATTAAAAAAAAACAACAACAACAAAAGACTCCTACACTTCTGCTTTTTGTCAGTCTTTACTGCAGCCCATTTGCATGAGAACAGCACAAAGTCAGCATTTAGTCAAAACTGAGCAATTAGCGGACCTGAAAGCCACCTGATGGATTTTAACATAAAGAGTAAGCAAAATGAAAAGAAATCAGAACATGCTGAAAAGAAATTAAACGCAATTATTTGAAAAATATCCAAATATCTCACACAACAATGCATTGGCACTTCTATCTAACTTTCTCCACAATGGTCAGTTCCCTCAGGTCATTAAATGGCAACACATCACAAAGAATATCAATGTGACACCAAGCATTTTCCACAGCATTGTAACCAACCATTCATTAGAATTCAGCACATGAAAGACAATTAAATGGAACGCTTTGTCCATCAAGATCTTCAGAAGGGACATCGGGACCTGCTGCTCCCTTTGTGGCCGTCCAGCTGCTGTCAAGAACAGCCAGCAGCCTTTTCTGTCAGGAGCAGGAGACTCACCCATAAACACAGACATTCCCCCACAG